TCAAAAATATTGCAAAGAAAGGTAAACATGGCTTAGGGAGGAAGGGAGAATGAAAATAAAATAAATCGCAAAGATGCTATCAAGCAAGTGTCTTGTGGATATCATAACTATTTCGGAACTTCTATGCACTCTGCCTTCTAAATTTAGAAAATATTGTTTCGGATAAAGTTGAGAATTGTTGAAAAGTTTATATCACGCGGTGTGAAAGTTCGAAGAAAATCTCGAGAAATCGTGCCAGGTGACAATTTGTCACACCAGTGTTTAGTTCCCTTATACTACAATTTTTTTTTAAATCCGTTTTCACCTACGTCAACCCTCTTCTTGTTTCTAAGAATTCGTTTTCTTAAATTTCTCATTGTTCTTGTTCTTTTGGGTCTCTTTTCCATTCTAATGGATACGTCGTTGGACTGTGGATCGCATGGTTCGCAGTTCGAGTTTCGCCACAGCACTAGTGTCATTAGGCAAGACACTATTCTACATTTGCCACTCTGCACCCAGGTGTTTAAACGTGTACCGGTATGAAGGTATTCCTTGAATGCTGTGAGGACTGAAAAGTTAGCGAGCCGGGTAGTATTGGAGCGCCTTATTATTAGTTCACGTTTACAAGGAATTACAGAACTGATGACAATTAGGTTATACAAATTCCTGAACATTATTTTTTTCTTGTTGCAAATACCATGGTTGAGAAACAAGACATTATCAGGAACATGACAAATTTGTCTGGAATCGGTCTTCTGTGCATTGGTACATTATTTTGAAAGGGCGCGGATATGAAGTTGGAAGCCGTAAATACATGACAAATGGCGGATCTCCCGCGCTACAGGATTTCACATTTCGTATGAATGTAATTTAAATACCATGGGAATGGGATGAAGTCATAGGACTTCACTTAGCATCATCGATCTTTCATCGCAACAACCTGTATTAGAAAGGTATGGGCAATTGAAGTCAAACGGACAGTGACACAGTCATGCTGAAAAACTAGTTACATGTACAGGATGACCTCCATATTTTTACCTCTTCTTTCTTTCGATCTAATGTTTCTTTCATAACCCCCCCCCCCCCCTCCCCCGTCATTCATATCCCTCTGTCTCTCTCTGTCTCTCTCTCTCGTCTGTCTGTCTCTCTGTCTCCCTCTCCCGTCTGTATGTCTGTCTGTCTGTCTCTCTCTCTCTCTTCCTAGGTTCTTTTTCTTTATGACTCTGCATTTCTCTCTCTCTCTTCCTTTTTCCGTTCTGCTCATGTCTTTTAACTGTATTTTAGTCTGTCTGTTAGACTGTTTGTCTCTCTCTATGTATTGTATTATCCTCTTTGCCTCACTACCCCTTACCTTTTTCTCTCTCTCTCCTCCGCTCCCCCTCCCCTTTCTCTCTTTCCCTCTCTCCCCTATATATGTCAATCTTTCTATTGTTTTATCATCTTTGCCTTACCACCCCTTCCCCTCCCTCTCTCTTTCTCTCATTTCTTCCCCCTCCCCATACCCCTCTGTCTCCCTCACCTTCATCGTCGTCTATTTCTCCTGTCTACCGAAAGGTTATTCGAGTCAATTCTTATTTCGTCCAATTACACAAGGCTGCAGCCGGAGCTTCCGTTCATGGAGTGATATCTAACACACCTTTCTCAGGCCAGCCATTTCCTCCCATAGTACACAAACTCTAGCAGGGAGATCACTTTAAGTTTATTACCATCACCCCCCCCCCCCCACTCTATCCCTTCCTTACACCTTTTCTTTCTATAAGACTCAACAAAATGCACGTTGCGATGGTATACGCCCTTCACCCCAATATTCTCCAAAATATATCAAACAGCCAGCCCGCCCAACAAATCCTTGCCTCCTTTCCTTTCTACAAGATAGGTCTATTTGACATTCACTTTGTTGATTAAGGCACAACATGCTCATCGCTTCAAAATACACTGAACGAACCCCCCCCCCCCCCCCCCCCACTCCTCTTCAATCCTTACCTCTTATCTTTTAAGATTTATTAACTTGTATACAAGACTGAATCCAATGTAATGCTTTTGATGGATATTGAAGGGGTTTTGTGCACTTTGATTTAAAATAAATCGACTCCCGTCGTTCTCTTTTTCTGTATCTATAATCTCACTAAAAGTACAATGAGCCGGTGTCGTGCCATGAGATACAAACAAATTTATGCCATTAAATCTAACTTTTACAAAAGCAAATCCATAAAGAGCAGCGGTCAACAACACTAGCAACAACAGCATGAGGCCCTTCCTACAGAGGTTTTCTGGACCTCTCGGACGAACAGAGTCATTTATGATTTCTGAATAGCGAATTCCAGTCATATTCTTTTACATATTTGGTATTATTATTATTTTGTTATGTTAATTCATATGTGCGCAATTTTACAAGGAAAATAACTCCAACCAAACCAAAATGTTATAGGCTATTATTATCATGATTATAATTTTGTCCTGCTGAGATGATCTTATGTGACCTCACAATTTGTTTTATTGTGAGATTTTTATCAAGCGTCGCCGCTGTCTATTTGTCAAAGCACATTAATCAATAATATATTCGTCTTATTTTCCAGATACACTGCTTTCTATTTGCATCAACCTAGGGATGAGGATTAATTGATTGTTGGTTGTTGTTGTTTTTTTCTCGGTCGAAATTCTTTTTATTTTCATTCTAAGAGAAGAGCAGGGCCAGAGCTGCAATTATCTACCCAAATCAATATTTTTTTACCAACCGAAAAGGGCGAAGGTGGTGGATTTTCTATTAATAGAAGATTACTTTAAACTAATCAAGCGCGAGGATCAGCCACCCATCGATCGACACATATATGTATCTAGGAAACTGATTCTCGATTTTAATTCATACTATAAAGTAAAAACTTGTATATACCACTCCGTCTTTCTCTATAGTGCTTGCTGTACACTTCTTCCTTTCTGGTGTGAAAGAAAAAGACTTTGGGTAATTCGTTGAGGTGTTGTATTGGTTTCAAGATAATACTCATTGATAAAACTAATGCACATTTTACAACTTTTGTAGTTTTTGTTCCTCTTCACTCCCCGCGGAGTATTCTACCTACAGTTTGTACGTTTGCCGCTATTCACAATGGTGATTGCCATCCTATCAGCTACAGGTCCCCATTTCTCTTAATTCTGAGCAAAGATCGGGAAGTGCGAAATTGGGTAAAGACATTAATTCTGGCTGAAATTCGCACCGGATCCATTTCGATATAAAATTCTTGACTTATCCACTATTAAAATCATGACATTTTTTTTTGCAATAATGTTGCAACCTTTTAACCTCTCATATCGTTTTGGTGTCATTTGTTTTATAAGGATAAATGGCCGCTCTACAACAAGTGTCTGGTGGAATTTTATGAACGCCATTAAAACATTCTCCTCTTCGGTTACATGGTAAAGCCTTGGAGGGTCCACGAATAAAACAAGATGTTCTTGAAATTGTTTGCATAACTTTCGCATCTAGAAATGATAAAAATTAATGAGATGCCAATTTCAGACTGGTACCATGCATGGTTTGACCAGCAAGAACCTGAAAGGCGTTTTTCATGAAAAAAAAAACATGCAAATATAGAACGGAAGAAGGGTCAGAATGTTGTGAAAAAGAAGAAAAATATAGGTCCTATACAAGTTATGATAAATTATTAGGTTATCGACATTCTTGATTTCGCAATATCATATTGAATAAAGAGTTTCTGCCATTGCAACTTATATTCTACTGCTCTATTCCTTAATTTATATTCTTATGCTAAGTTTCCTATCAGTATTACTGAAGATTCTCCTCTTCCTCTCCTCATTCTCCTCACCCACTCCCCTTTTTTCTTTCTCTCTCTCCCCCCCCCCCCATCTCTCTCTCTCTTTTTTCTCTCTCTCTCCCTTTCTCTCTCTCTCTCTCTCTCTCTCTCCCTCTCTCTTCCTCTATCTCTCTCCCTCTCTCACTCACTCACTCACTCACTCTCTTTCCCCATCTACCCCAATCTCTCTATTCCCTCCATCCTCATTCTTTTTTTCCAGTAAAGTAAAACTTTGGAAACTTTACCTTGGGAGTCCTGCCTCCTTACAGTATTTCAAGAACGCTCTTTGGGGCGGAGTCACGATCACACCTCCGAGATCGAACAGCACAACTTTCTTGTCTATCATCTTGGATGTGGGCGACGACGTCGACGACGATGTGGATATCGATGAACACTGAACAGTATGTTTGCTTACCCCTCTTCGGCTTCAGATGAGAGGGCAGGTAGGAAAATACTTTCCGGAATTTTCTCCGTGTCTTTCGACAATGAAAAAGCAAGCGGTGTCGGAAACGATGAAGATTTCTCCGCATTCAACTGTGCTCGGTCGTCGCTTCGACAGTTCGAATCGCCACACATCGCATCAGATTTATGCCCTTACATAAGACTGTAATACCAGCAATAATGTTGCAACTTGTTGACCTCTCATATCTTTTTGGTGTCATTTTTTTGTTTTTTAACGAACAAATAGCTCTACAAGTGACCATCACTGGTGGAATTTTATGAACGCCATTAAAATATCCTCCACTTCGGTTACATTGTAAAGCCTTGGAGGGTCCACAAACAAAACAAGAGAAATTGTTTGCATAACTATCGCATCTAGAAATGATGAAATGAGTGAGATGCCAATTCAGACTGGTTTGAACAGCAAGAAACCGTAAGGTGCTTTTGATGAAAAACGACATGCAAATATAAAATGGTGGAAGGGTAAAAAAACGTTATGAAATAGAAGAAATATATAGGCCCTATACAAGTTATGATGAATTATTATGTTATCGACATTGTTGATTTCGTAATATCATACTAAATAATAAATACAAGACTTGCTCTCTCCCTCTATTTATATTTCTTCCTCTCTCTCTATCTCTCTCTCTCTCTCTCTCTCTCTCTCTCTCACTCACTCAATCTCTTTCCCCATCTACCCCAATCACTTTATTCCCTCCATCCTCATTCTTTATTGTCCAGTTAACTTAAGCAAAACTTTGGAAACTTTACCTTGGAAGTCCTGCCTCCTCACAGTATTTCAAGAGCGCTCTTTGGGGCGGAGTCACGATCACGCCTCCGAGATCGAACAGCACAACTTTCTTGTCTATCATCTTGGATGTGTGCGACGACGTCGACGACGATGTGGATATCGATGAACAGTATGTTTGCTTAATTCTCTTCGGCTTCAGATGAGAGCGCAGGTAGGAAAATACTCTCCGGAATTTTCTCCGTGTCTTTCGACAATGAAAGCAAACGGTGTCGGAAACGGTGACGATTTCTCCCGCATTCAACTGTGCTCGGTCGTCGCTTCGACAGTTCGAATCGCCACACATCGCATCAGATTTATATATCAACATGTTATCATCCAAGTTAATCGTCTGATAACGAAAAAATCCAGCGATTTGAAAATAAAACAAAGAAGATCAACAGCTTATCGCTAAAGATGTCTTGATCACTCCACGTTCAAGTCTAAATACAGCTTACACAAATATCCCAAAATATGATCACAATCGTAAACAAACAATAACCAGATAATAATAACTAAATAACAGCTTAAACTCAGCTGTGTATTTGGTCTAAATGTAGAAATCCTGGGCTAAAAGCGTTGATCAAATATTTGCTAGCATGTTGACGAGAATGTATTCACACTGTATTTTTAGAAAGATTATCTCGGTGTAACTGCTTTGCACCCGTACTCGCCGATAACCAGTGCACCAATTAATTGCTGGTCGTTCGTTCTCGCCTGGCTCGTGATTGAGGGCGGTACACACATCCAAAACATGTTATACTAGTCTCGAGAAGCAGACTCTAATTTGACACTTGGGCACAAGTCCGTAAAGTCTCGAAGAAGAGCCTACTTCTACCAGACTCTCTCGTTGTCAAATATGGAGCAGTATTTCATATGAAATGACAAGGATAATGTATAACCACTGAAGAAGAAGACACCTACAATCGATGTACAGGCAAAATATAGCATCGCTGGATTAAACAATATAAAAAGCCTATGAAATACAATAGACCGTGAGGATTGCACTCATAATCATTCCTAGACTCATTCGAAGTCTCTTGTACATGACGAAACAATCATTTTTAGTTTCGTTTCAGGGATTCCGACTCTAAATTTAGTTTGACCTGGAAATAATCCTCAGTGATTTAAAAATTACCCCTTCTAGGCTTCTACAGAGCAAACTTTATGTTAGTATTGTAAACGGTGAAGTATATATCTGAATCATATTTTTATGCGACATAAAAATCTAAAAATGCAGACGTTTACTCTCGCACATTAGACGTCATAATGACATTAATTGAATCAGATCAAAACCAATTAAAATGAATGGACCCAGGTACATTTTATTTAGCTGGAATATTAAGTTTGTCGACCGTGCAATGACTCAACACATTTCTTATGATGAATATGTACCATAAATGGCAATTAAAACCTATTTAAATAATTATTATAGCAATGAATTTTCATTCATTGTAATTGACCAACAATCGCGGTAAGAGAAAGCTGTAAGTGACGAAATCACCAATAAGCAAGACTCGATTAATTTAGAGTAATAATTAAATATGGTGATGTTGTTTAATATCACGTCTTTGCTTACTCGTCTGTAGAGCTGTTAAAGCACCTTTCATATTATTTTGGTTTTGATTTTCGAGAAATTGTCATCTAGATTGTCGGTTTATTTGGTCCGGCCGACACCCCCCCCCCCCCCTTCCCTTTCAAAATGTTATGGTCCTATCTCAAGTGTTGTTTGGTGTGATTTTAAACCATTGGTCATACATTTAAATAAAGAACTTGGCCCATAGCCATTGGCGGAGTGAGGGTCGAGCCCCATCACGGGGAGGGGGTGGGGGCAATGGTCCTCCTCCCCCTAAACAAATATTAACTAATAGCATGTCCTAAGACTCTGTATGACGTTTGGAAGTGATTATATGGTCTTCCTTTTTATGTACCCCCCCCCCCCTCTTCCCCTCTCTGCCTCTGCTTGCTTCCTCTCTCTTCTTATAATTTTCCTCTTATTTCCTCGTTACTCGAGTTGGAACACTTAATTGCCCCCGTGCCCCCAGTCGCTACACCATTACACGTAGCCAGTGGCGTACGTAGCATTTTTTTCAAGGACGGTGTTTGAAAATTTGAAAAATCGCGCCGACCGATATTTCGTTCAGTGAAGGGGGGGGGGGGTGAGCCTCCTCCTCACTTGAGCAATTTTTTTTGTATGGGGGGGGGGGGTTGACCCCCAAAATTTTCCCTGCGTACGCCCCTGCATGTATAGCTACACGTATGGAGGATAACAAGGTGTGATGCCGATGAGAGCCTACGGTGAATGACAGGGGTGTTGATAGACCAAGTGCGCTGTGTCCGCTGATTACAGTCCTGTAGCTTCTAGCTAAGATATCTTCAATCTTTACCTGATACTTGATAGCTCAATCTATACTCGTGGATATGACCACCCATGGCATTCCTTCCAAAATACTCTAATAACATAGGTGTAATAACATTTTTCAATTATGAATATGCTCACTAAACTAAGCTGTATTGCGATTAAAGTTGGGAGTATCTTTCTTTTTATAGTGTCAACTTTCTTATGAATAATGTGTTTATTTCCAAGGATATTTTCAGAATATATCCCTGTTCACCGCGAGACTTGGATTCATGAATGTGTATTATTCTCTTGTTCAGATTTAATACGATGGTTTAAGATTTGTGATATATTACAACAAAATAAATTGCAACAATGAAAAGATAAACATAGTTTCAGGTTTTCTTAATGATTAATGATCAAGGAGAATTTTTCGACATTTGTCCTACATTTCAGTGCATACGTGTACAAAAAAAAAACCGATCACTAAGGCTTTCGAGAATTCAACTCAAGGGCAATTTAAAACCCTTTTGTTTCTTGTACAATATTCTCACATTTCCAAATATGATGGACAAGGCTTTTGAAATTTCCCAAGGTATATTTTTTCGACAGTTTATGCGATCATGTTCAAATTAAAGGGATAGTTGAGTTCTGTTGCAGAGGGCGCTACACAAAATATTTTTTTGTGAGATAATGAAAAACTGAGCGTAAAATTTGAAAGAACATAATATTTAAATGACAAAATCATCTTTGTTTGATCAAAATCGTTTCAGAGACGGCTGAAATATAACGATTTCTAATACTTGTGTACCACCACAAATATTAGATATTTTGAAAAAATACGAAAAAACCGTTGAAAAAAAAACGAAATAACGCCTTTTAAGTCGTATTTCAGCCAATGCCGATGTTGGCTTTTTTGTTGGCATTTTCGTGTTGCCTATATTACCCACAATTAGCTGGCTCGTGTATCGTTATTTTTAAATAAATAATTAATTAACGGTCACTGTTTTTTTTTTTAAAGTGGAGCTGAATTAGTATGATCGTATTGGCTAGATTTCACACATTTTGGGGTCTAAAATGATCTTCATAGCAATTTTAGGTTCTAAAAGGGCACTATAAATGTCATAGATAAGAATAAGAGGCATTTGCGGTCTGAAAACAGAACTCAACTATCCCTTTAAGTAAACTAAATGGAACATGCAAAAGTAACGATACTCTTCAATTCGAACGCAATCTCGCCTACATGAATGAATGCACTCTTCATAATTGTTGCGAGACCAGTTTCTACAAACTACTCCTCTAAGTAATTTTGTCATTTTATTTTTAGATTTAAGTAATTGGGTCAAAAAGTTCGATGGGTCTTCTTATCTGTAGATAAATCACCCAGTATACTACAGCACATTACACAAGATTTCTTTACAATGTCTTTATAGAGTAGTTTCTCTATAAAGGGCTTTGAGTAGTTGAACTTTTCATTACTCTCACTTGATTTTTTCGAAACGAACTTTTGTCGTTTATCAATTTGTCAATAAAAAAAACGTTGGCAAATATATCTTCATCTTTAACACGACAGAAGAACTAGCAGACAAGATCTTTGGTTAGTTTTTTTAGTTTTTTTTTTTTTTACCTGTACATCATCAATAATGATACCCCTTTTATTCGTTGTTATCTAAAGCAATTAACGAGGTCTAATAATATTGTACAAACAGCGTTGAGTGTGATTGTTATCATTTTCTTTTTATTCCACCTCCAACGTTATCAGCACTTGTGATCTAAATTTAGTCTCACAGTCGTTATTTTTATATGTTCATAGTTTGCGGTTTGTCGCAGACGTTTCTGCTTGCAGAATTTGTGTTCTTTATTTTAACTGGGGCGGTGTCAATTTGGTTATCGTTATTTATCATTAACTAATTCCTTTATATCCATAACGTTTATTATAGACTTTTAGTTCATAGTTTGCGGTTTGTCGCAGACGTTTGCGCTTGCAGAATATGTTTTCTTTCTTTTAGATGGGGCGGGGCTAATTTGATTATCGTTATTTATCATTAACTAATTCTTCTATCACTCGGTAATATTTAATTTAGACTTTTCAACTGTATTGTTCGGCATGATATCAGCGTATTAAAGAAAAGGTTGAGAAGGCCTACATCGAAAGATTTAAAAAAAAAAAAAAAAAAAAGTTTGTGAGGAAGAGTATCATAGAAAAAAAATGTCCCCTGAAAAGAATGACTCTTCAAATAACCTCATATTCTAAATGAGACAAGTTACAGCTAAAGGTTATGGACCAAAATATTCATATCAACAGTTTGTGTAGTCCCATATGCACATTGGATATACAGTTCATGCTAAAATTACCAATATTGGGCCAATTTCTTATCATTTTGGTGATTATGTGCTACATGATTTTCGGTCGCTTCCACACAGTTTCTTTCACATTGTGATTGCATTACCAGAACTCAACTCTCTCTTTCAATCTGAGGTGGAATCCTGGAGGAGTCATATTAGAGATCACTTCGTTTTGGAGTTGAAATCCAAGCTCATAATAGTCGAATCCACTCTCAAAAGAGTAATACAAGCCACTATACTTTGGAGTGGATCTCATCAAGGAGATACTAGGCTAAAACTCCTTGACCTTACTTAAAAGTTGGATTGGATTTAAGTGAATTCATTTCCAAAATGAAGTGATCGATCCGTAAAATGAGTAGATTTCCACTCACAGGAAGGTATCTGGGCAGCCACGTTAGGTCCCTCCCCTGTACATACAAACAGGGAGAGGGCGGGGGGCGGGGGGGGGGGCTATGCCACCCTATGTTGGATACGCCATTGATATTTGTGTTGCATGCTGATCAGTATATTGGGGTCAGTAATGTGAACATGCCTATATTGTTTCAATAGAAATCGCACCTGAATTACCAGTGGAGACGGAGCACTGAGGAACAACTGGTTATGCGCATGTAATTCATAAAACGAGAAGAGAGTCGCTATTCA